TATAATGTATCCGTATGCATCAAAATGTATAAGTAATGGCTGCTTAAAATTCAGCTTTACCATCACAGGAATAATTTACATTTGAAAATATACTCAAGCAGAAAACGGTTATTTTATTTTAGTTATTTCATTTTAGTAGACTAAAGACTGGAGTAATGATGCTGAAAATTCAGCTTTGCATCACAAAAATAAATTACATTTTAAATTATATTCAAATATAAAACTTATTTTTAACTGTAATAATATTTCACAATATTTCTGTTTTTACTGTGTTTTTGATCAAATAAATGCAGCCTTGGAGAGCAGAAGAGATTTCTTTTAAAAACATTAAAAATATATCTGTAATAACCCCCCAATCTTTTGAAAAATTGTATATATGCCAGTGCATGTCATAAACGTTGACCAAATGCACCCGGGCAGATATATGCTTTCAATATTTAATACAGATTTTCTCTTCTGGGAAAATACTACAACTCATCCTGCACTTACACAGATTTTTGTCCAATCAAATTCTCTCTATGGTGAGAATGTCTGAATGTCTGTCTAGATAGGAACTATACTCTCTTTCCGGCGTAATAATCAATAATCAAACTTCTGTCAACATAACCAACTACACAAACTTAGTGCCGGTCACGTTGGAAGTTACCTAGCTGGGGAATATTTTCAGGTGCTGCGTAATATCATTGTGCCTGCTGCACCCATGGTACGGCAGCAAAGTTCCTTGATTATTACGCCGGAATGAGAGAATCACTTTTCATTTTCCATCAGAAACTCTTTGGTCATTTTTGAGCGAGATGCTAACGGTCTAATCAGATTCAATGATCTATGCTAAGCTAAGCTAAAAGTGCTACCGCCAGACCCGGAGATCGGCTGAATGGAGTCGAAAAACGGTAAAACTCAACTGTTTAACTCTACGGGAGTTGGAAAATGAGCCTATTTTCAAAAATAGTGGCGTGTTCCTTTAAGACTGGTTTTGTGGTCCAGGGTCACATATGAGAAAGAATGTAAGTCAGAGACTCACCCAGAGGAATGGAGTCCATGCCCACACAGAAGGTGTGGAAACCTCGGTCACACTTGTCACAGAACATCATCTCCTCCTCATGGTGCGGCTGCTCGCACACGGTGCACGTCTTGCACTCCATGCACTGCCAGGGATACATCTTGATCTGGGACACCAGCTCCACACTCATGTCCAAGCAGGACGGGTGACCTGAACACAAAGTCAGGCCTCTCATCAGCTCTGATATACTCACAATGTCACACACGACCAGAGCAATCCAACAGGTTCACTCACTTGAGATTTCGATATCATAACGGTTTCTTTAATCAAGACAATAGAGACCGTGACCCTGCGTCCTTCAGTTAACATTTTTCGATGAAGTGAAGGAACAAACATTAGCAGTGTGGTATAAAGAACTTAATCCTATAAGTTAAACATATCTTGATTTGATTGTTCTTTTAGCACTTGTTTTAAACTATGCCGGCTAAACTGAGAACTAAACAGATAGTAAACTCTGCATTAGGCAGCGTTTGGACTTACCGCTGTTCTGGCACTGGGAGCAGTGGATGAGAGCCTCCGGTTTGCCTTTCCTGTTGGCCTCCTTACCCTTCTGACATATGCCACATATAGCATTGGGAATGACCTTAGGCTGCAAGGGCAGAGTAACGCTATAAACGCCAAGGCAACCAAGGTCATACACACCATGTGATATTATGCTTGAATCAAAACCACTATGATTTTTAAAATTAAATTAGTAAAAATACCAGAGTAAACTGGATGCAGGATCTTAAAAAGGTATTAAAATAGCCTAATATTTAAATTTTAAGAATGGTTAATGCATATAATGTATAAATACACAAGCAACAAAGACCAAAAAAAATAATAATAATAATTTGTCACATAAATCACGATAAAACACTACTGTTCAAAAGTTTGGGGTCAGCAAGATTTTTTTTAAAGAAATTAATACTTTTATTCAGAAAGAATACGTTAAATTGATAACAAGTGACAGCAAAAGACATTTATAATGGAACAACAAAAGATTTTTGAACTTTCTATTCATTAGAATCGTGACAGTTTTCCACAAAAATATAAAGCAATATTTTCAATATTGATAAAAATAAATGTTTCTTGAGCAGCAAATAAGCATATTAAAATGACTTCTGAAGAATCATGTGACACTGAAGACTGGAGTAATGTCTATTAAACAGAAAACTTCATTTAAATCGTAATAATATTTTGAAAATATGAGCTTTTTCTGAATTTTTAATTGTATTTATTTTTATTTGTAAATAAATGCAGCCTTGGTGAGACTCTTTTCAAAAACAGTTGTTACCAATTCTTACTGAACCCAAATTTTTTAACAGTAATGTATTTAATTTACAGTATTTATATCAAAACTGACACACTATATGACCACTTAAATTAATTCAAAATCTTGAAGACCATTTCAGTAAAACAAAAACACGCAAGAAAACATTTTTAGCAATGCAGAAAATATTGCAATGTTCAAAATTCGTGTGCTTTGGGTAGAGGAAGCTACAAAACATATTTAACAATAATTACATACATATTTGCTACAATAGATAATCCAAAGAAAGGTGTTTCACCCCAATAAACAAATTGTCAGAAGCAAAAGCCAATGTAAAGTGTAACATAAGTGCATAAAAAAACCCCCACACAAAATAGAAAATGTTCTTGTGCTACTTGTAACAGACTTACACTTTCATTCAGTGCTCACAGTCATTAAGAAATCTCTCTACAGTCTAATTTCTTTAAAACCTCTTTATTCGAAAGGTTACTCTAAATACTGACATGTCAAAGGCCCTACCATAAAAACGGAAAAAAAGCAGTGACAACATTGTGGAAAAACAAACTGAGGCAGAGCCAGGCTACAGGTTAAAGTCACATTTAGATGTTAGTCACAGTAGGAAAATATCAGCTGAACTAGGAGAATTACATTTAAAAAAAATATATATGTATATCACATAACAGGAACAAGAACATTTAATGTTGTTTAACTACAAACACTCTTAACAAGACTCGAGAGATTGCATGAAAGAGGGATGGAAATCAGCCAACAGCAAACTGTACAGTGAGAGGATCAACAGAAGCTGTACCTACCGTCTTCTAAATAAATGAAGGCTTTCATATGTACTGCAGTACATGACCATGCACCGCATTCAAATTTCCAAAACACACTTATGGCAGCCTCTCTGATATCATGGCCATATTAAACAACAACAACAAAAAAAATCTTCCTATAAACACAAGATTATGAACTGCAATAGAAAACACCTTAAGCATGTAACACTGTTCACCCCAAAGATGACAACTCGTTCAAATCATATGACTATTAGGTAAGTCCATACCACAACTATAACAAGAAGAACAATGCCATTGGGATCACATTCAGAAAGATTTCTTCCAGCATATGAACGATATAAATATTGACAGTCAGTCAGAATCCACCTGACTTTAAAGAGCTTGAGCATTTAAAGCAGCAGACGACAAAACTGCAGCATGCTTATATAATAAACAGAACGTTATCGTCCACTGGTGTGGATGCTAATATAGTTTGCTATAGTTATATATAATAGTTGTCTCTCCAGTTATCGTCCTTGGTGTGAACAGGCCTTTAATCTTGACGAACTTAAATAGTTTTAAAACTCAAACCGTTTCGACCAATAGTGTGCTACATTAGGCGCGTTTCCATTACCCTTCAAATTGCGCAAATTGAAATTGCGAATTGAAAATACGCCTAATGGAAACTCGTCAATTCCGCAAAAACGGCCATATATCGCAAAAAAAGTTTTTATGCTCGCATGAGGTGGTTTTTCAGGCAATGCGAAAAAGGAACAATTCGCAAAACTGCAATGGAAACGTTTTATTTTTTTCGCATTTACAGGTCACATGGCGTATGTAAAAAGTCATATGATCATTCTTCAATGTACTATAACCTCCAAGAAACACTTCATACGTGGCAAGTCTCCAGTATAAGGGGC